GGCTGCCCAGGGAAGTGGTGGAGCCCCCACCCCTGGAGGGATTTCAAAGACGTGTAGGTGTGGTGCTCAGGGACATGGTTTAGTGGTGGGCTTGGCCATGCTGGGTTAGGGGTTGGACTTGATGATCTTACAGGTCTTTTCCAACAGAAATGATTCTGATTCTATGACTCTTTATGCTGTCGTTCTGCAGTAGTTGTTGGGCGGGTTTCAATAAAGCATTTTCCCTGTTAGCAGCCAAGCTCTATTCCTGCAAAATAGGTTCACATTGAGCAAGAACGCAGCTCTTGCTGCATGAACCAGAGAGTCCTGTCTTGAAAACAGCCATAGTCATGAGGAGACAAACTGTGGGCTAAAACATGAAGGAGGAAGACTACAGCAGGGCTTTAGGGAAGGCAAAGGTCACCAGTGTTTTTGCAGCTGAGAGTTGCCGCACCAGCTCGGCCACATGCCGCTGGGCTGGACTCAGCTGACAGCAGCTTTAGCCAGTACCAGCCTGCTTGAGTCCGTGGCTTAAAACTTCTTCCTAGAACAAATCCGACAGTTATCTTTTAGCTGATTTGGGGTTTTTATTTCAGCTCCAGATCCTTTGCGAGGTGGATCATTTCAAGGTAGCAGTCGACGATGCTCACTTGCTGCAGTACAGCTTCCGTGAAAAGAAGCTGAATGAGATCACCAGACTTTGCATCGCTGGGGATGTCACCCTCACCAGCGTCATGCCGACCATGATATAGCTATGGTGGTGTAATTTTAATGCAAACTTAGCGCTCTTAATATGGCTGTAACAGAAGTGCCTTCTTACATGAATACTTTGAGTTAATAAAACATACTTTCACAAATAAAAGTTGTTTTCAATATCTCAAAAGACACACTATCTTCCAGCAAGCCAAGTTCAAATGTGGACATGACTGAATTCTTGCTGTAGAGACAGAGAATCTCTTTGACGACTAGGAGCTGTTTGATTCTGATGGAGAGGAGTACTTGGGAAAGCAGCCTGCATCGTACTGCCACTGGTCCTCTAAATTAAGGCAGCCATCTTCAACTCCGTCTTCTCAAAGTACCAGTAGGCAGTCAGTAACTTGGTGTTTCTAGCCTCAGTTGCTCTGCTAGGTGGAGTAGTTATTCCTTTTTCACTAAAGGAATCAAAATAGTGCAGTGAAGAACTGAAATTCCCCCCTCAGAGGAGGAGGTGCATGATCAGGCTGTGAATGGGTCGTGCGTAATTCACAGAAGTGTCACTTCACTGAAGTTGTCCTCCAGGAAACACTGAAAAACAGGGAAAACTCAGAAGCCTCTGGTCCTGACTACAACGAGGTATTTCAGGAGAGGGTTTAGAGCTGGAAGAAGCAAAATCTCTCCCTAGACCATGGCTAGAAAAGTTACTCCTCTCCTTCATTTCAAAGGCCCATTCTGTCCATTTGATGGCCCAAATCAGCGTGTCCTGAACGCACTTCCCTCTCAAGGGAGATCCAATTTATACAAGCATTACATACTCCATGGAGTGGGTCACGAGCCTTGTGCTTCTCTCCCCTCAACACTTCTCTGTCAGCCAAGACCAGTTTCAAGGGTGGGGTTTATTGGCAAGTTCACCCCATGAGTCAGGCTGGTAAAAAAAAAAAACCAAACCCAAAAAGAATGTTCCTTTCGCTGTGAGTCATCCTTCTGGTCGTCTCTGCAAAACAGGAACAGCGCAATAGCCACTGCTGAAGTTCTGAAGGATCTCTTTGACACGTCTCATGCTCTTTTATAACAGTCATTTCATCTATACTTGGAGATGCCGAGTTACAACAAGCAGAGGGTTGAAATTTCTAGCAGATGCAGTAGCCTAGCCCAGCACATCGCTAACATCAGCTTAAGTGTTAATGTCGGAAATTCCTCATCACCACTACTCATTGCACAGCGTTGATGACTGACCAGAGCAGAAAAGTCATGAAGAGCTATCGATTTGAAACTATCTGTACAACTGGAGTTTAGTAACAGAGAAAGTTGATTCCAGCACAGTAACACCAAGTCACGTTGGCTTCCTCTATTTATTTCAGTGTAATCAGTACACAGCTTCCAGGTTAAAACCTACATCAGATGAGCTGCCCCATTGTAGCAGCAATGGTTTCTGCTGAGGGATTCGAATTACCTTTGTTTGGTTTAAAATAAAGGCTAGTGGAAGAATGTGCATATTACACTAAGGTCACCACTACAAGAAGCAGCCCAGTCAGGTATTTGTTAAAAATATAGTGACTGGAGGTACCCTAATACTACTACTCAAATACAGAGTATATATAACTGGCACGCTCCTTACACATAAATATATTACAGTCCAGATAAAAGAATGCATAAGGTAGAAGATGTGAGAAGAGGCTGAGGTTGACATGTCAAGTGTTCAGAGAAAGAGGTTAAGAGATTTTTCACATGAAAAAGCAAAGAGAGAATAGGGTTTGGCTTGAAGGTACTTAAGATACTCAATAGATAATTATGTCCTTAAAGGAAATAATAATCAATGCCTATTTTATTACACTGCCAGGAAAAGATATTACCTGACTTTGAAATCCTTGTTCTGAGAGAGTCGCTACTATTACAAAGCAAGTGGTTGTTAAACACCAGGAAGACTCCCTCAGGTAAGAATTACATGCATCAAACCCTGCCACAGCTGCTGAGTAAGCGGTTGCTCATGCACAGAATATGGGAGCCTAAGGGTGGAACGGTACCCTTCCAGCAGTGACCAAGTACGAAACAGTGCTTTGGGGGAGGCAACAGGCCGAGTCTTACCCCCAAGGAGGTGCCCTCGCATCAGAAATAGGGCACAGGTACAGCCAGTCTAATAATAATTCATGAGGTAAGTGAGGTCAGAACAGAAAAGCTTAAAGATGAATAGTTTTACAACTTGAAGTGGACAGGAAATACATGAAATTATACAAAAATAAAAATATTTCAGGCTGTAGTTAGAGTATCATTGGATACAGCAGGTATAACCAGTAAACACCCCACTACTAATATACAGCAGTACTTATAGCGTCATAAAATGTTACAAAATATTTTAATAAGTTCCACTACAAAATATTACAGGTATTCATTCACTCAGAACACAGTTCAAGGGTAGCAGACTGTGTTCCAGATATCCTCTGTGGGGCTTTTTTTGTTAATATAATTTACCCATTTTGAATTTCAAGTCACTCTTCATTTTTCCCCAGAGGGAGAAAGAGGAGAAAATACAATAAGATCACCGAGTGCTGCAGCTGCTGCAAACTTCTGGGCTTTGTTCCTGACTGGAGTGAAGGGAAGCTCAGCATCCAGCGTTGGCTGTGGGAGAAATCAAAGAGTGTAAAGTTAAGTGTTCGAGGAACAGGCATCTATTCTGAAAAACAGCACTGCAATGACATATGAAATAAGCTAATAGTAAATTCTCCTTTCTCTAATGACATCTGTATAAACACCAGACCAAGAGTAAATACTGTCAGGCAACTGCTTATGTACGCTAGGTGCCTGCCTGCTTGAGAGGCCACATAAACATCATGGGACAATAGCTAGCAGAAAATGCTTTTGATGAGGGAGCAGGAGAAGCGTGCAATTCTCTTGCCTCTCTCTCAGTAGTGTGGACACGGCGCAGCTTTAGAATAAGCAAAGCATGGATCTGTCAGGCAGAGACAAAACCTGCAACGATTCAGTAGATCTAAGTATACTAAAATACGCTTGCTCATGTAACGATACTGTTTCAAAGCAACAGCCCCAGGTTAAAATCATGTAGCACTGTAAGAACCAGGACTTTCTTAAAAGAAACCTCGCAAGCTTATTTCCAGACACGAAATAAGAAGTGAATATGTGGTCCATTCTGAAGACACTCATTACTTCAATCAGTAATTCATATTTTAAAAAGGATTTTTCATGAAATCCAAGGAATTCTACACCCAAATTCTTTTAACAATTTGAAAGTTTTTACACACCTGCTTTTCCCTGTTGAATCTTACTTCCAAGCTCTAAAAGTTAAAGCTATAAAAGAAGGGACAGGACAAATCTGAAAAAATCCCAAGAAGAAAGTGGAGGAAAATGGAGGAAAAAGGCCAGGCCATTCATTATATTAGTAAATATTTACAAGGAAATTCCCAAGAAATACTATTTAAAGGATCAATCTGATAAGAGTCAGACATTCTGCTGTTAGAAATGTCTCAGATTCATCCTACACTCCTTCATGTGCAATAAGGAATAACAGTGTGAGCCTGAGCAGGGAGACAGGCTGTATTGTGGCTTGTATTTAAAGTTACATGAGTTGGCTTGATAACATCTTAAAGAGTTTAATTTACTTCATGCAGTAACTGATTCTGTAGGAAAGGTTAACAGTACTGTAACAGGCAGATTGTCTTAGTAAAATGAACCTGAAGGTGAACTTACCATATCAAAAGGATTTCTGTCAATGGTTGTCAAATCGCTACATGAAACATCTGAAAAATATAAATATTTCATTTTTAATAAAAAAAAGTTTGTCTGATGCTGTCAAAGCTGAAAAACCCCTATTGTCTTCTGCATTTACTAGGAAAAAAACCCAAAACAAAACAAAAAACAAACCAAAACAAAAAACCAAACCTAAACTGTCTGTATTTACTTCTATTTCAAGCCTTTTATATTAGCTTTCTCCTTCACATATCCCATGGAAACTACACAGAAGAATCTGAGGGGCCCTGTTTGCTCATGGGCAATGCATGTAGAAGTCATACTAACTAAAGGAGGTTTTGCTACCAGCATACATCCATTAACCAAGCTACAATGACAAATCATTTCAAAGAGTAATATTTAGACTATCATAAAACTTTAGAACAAACATAAGGGCCCAGCAATACCACACAAACTATACTAAGCAGCTTTAAGATACGCACCTGTTTGATGTATTTTTGGTTCTACAGACTGGGCAAAGTTACTTGCTGTGCCACTATCCTTCTCTGGACTGCACATGACAATATCTTGTGCTTGTTGTTCTGCAGCAGATAGTTCCATCTCTTCCATGCCATCCATTACTTTTAATTCACTGCTTGAATTTTCCAGCACCTGAAAAACAGGAATTTTCACTGCTCGTGGCCCTCTGAGAGGGTAAGATGTCTGGAGTAGCAGTATTTGCTTCTCAGAGAGCCAGAAGGAAAGCGTCAGTGAAATCTGGCTGATGTGAGGCAGTACCTATGACACTAGGAAGCTTTATTTTCTTTTTGTCTGCAATAAAAGGAACTTTGTCAGCTTTTGATGCAGAAGGCACAAAGATGAAAAGGTACCCAGGACGTTCAAGGGATGTGAGTTTACAGAAACCAGCATGTCCCTGTTACGTCAAGTCAAGTCCATACATCTAGTCTACAGGTTTTAGGGACAATTCAGGAGAGAGGATTTTAACTCCAGACACTGTACAAAGCACAGGCAGGACAAGGCTCACAGCTTAAGACTGTGATCCATTTCACATGAACTATTTCTCAAATACCCTTGTAAGCTTGATAATCTCTTTGAGAGTATAAAGGAAGTTCTTCCACATGAAAGAACTTTTTGGAACTTCAAGTGCCAAAAACATTCCAAGGATGTTCTCTAATGAGACTTTATCTCAAGAAAAACCCATCAACAATACTGAAAGTTAAAGATCACCACACCTTTCCCCAGAAAGCGACATCACCAACAAGCGATTTCTCATTTGATAGGGAAAGGATGAAGTAAAAAGCATAAGAACAAACCAAGATGATTTTTTTTAAAAAAATGTAATATTACACATATGAAGAGGACACACATGAACTACTGCTGCAGTCAGGCACAGATCCAAGCAGTAACAAGCAAAATTAAGATACTCCATTTCCAATGAAAGGTACTAAAGGATGTTTAATTGCAAAGTACTGGCTTTCACCGAGTAACACAGTATCATCTAAACTATGGAGGCCACATTCCTGTTTTTTTTTTTTAAGGTTATTCAAATGTAGGCATGTCACCAAGTCCTCGAACATTTCAGGGCATGGATTTCTGAACTCTGATACTTGTATTAGGAACACTGCTCTTGCTATACCTTTAAAGAGTATAACAGCCCAATACTCTGCTACGGCACCATGAGGACTGAGAGACCCAAATACCACTGTTGCCTTTAGTCACGGTCCCCAAATACCAAAGCATTTAAAAAAATTCACACCAGAAAACAGGTAGTGGACTTCAAGGAACATTGCTTGCCCAAACAACAAGTGTCCTCATACAGCAGCCAGCAGGACCTCCCAAAGATAGCTCCCAAAGAGCTAGCCAAGTTCCCCAAACTGCAGCACTCCCTATCTATGTCCATACTGAGAAGGAAAAAGCACCAGCCTGAGAAACACAGAAGATACCCAAATGAGGATTTGATCAGAAATCCAAGCATCTGGGGCCAATAAAAAGAACTTTTTTTTTTTTGCTAATAATAACAAAATATTGAAAGCACATACATGAGCTATGCATGACTTACCTTAGTTCCCTCTGCTGTGCCAGCAACAGGACAGTGTTCTTCTGCAACTACAGAAATGCTGAAAGAGAAACCAAAATGTTGTCAATCACCTTCATCAATCACCTTCAATCATCTTTTGACTTACCCAACTGATCTTACGATTTGTTCTGCAATTATGCTTGCTAGTTTGGCACTGGTCAGCTACATCAAATTTTCTAGGTAAAAAATAAACTTCTACCCCACCAGTAAAATTACATTTGGACAAACTCTTAATATTTGCTTGAGGGAAGGAAAAGACACAAGGATTTTGCAACCTTTAACACTGCCAAAGTGGAAGGTAACATTTAATGGGTATTAATATTAATTCTTTCAGTTAAAACTAGAAAAGTATTTGTACAAAGTTAATTAAAAGCTGCCTTAACATGTCTACCTCTGTTCAAGAAAACCACCAGGGAGTTTTTCCAGTGGGGGAGTTTTTCCAGTGGGAAACTGGTGCATTTTCAAATTTTGTGCTGGGTGGAAGCCTTTGAGCACCGGTGTTTGTTTTGCAGTTGTATCTTCAGGGTTATGAAGAGCAGAAGGAATGCTCTGAAGCAAAGCTCTACTGGATGATCTTGGAGTTGCCAGTTTTCCAGAAGTCCGCTGCGAAGATCTGCGAGGTGTCTTTGAAAGCAAGTCTGAAAAAAGCGTTTAATGTTTCATTGCTACAGCAGTTTCCAGAAGATGAAATCAACTCTTTGTTATGATTCTAGCTAGGAACGCTATTTTTTTCTGCTTATACAAATTTTATATTGAAATCTTATATACATTGCATGGGGAAATTGAAAAAAATTACAAGATTAGGTCAGTCAGTTATAAAACTACCTCAACTCCAGCTAAGCAATTTAGTAATGACTAACCCTTCACAAAGGACCTGAAATAATGAGACATGCTGTTCTTATTAAAAAGTCCATCTGGTGAAAGCTGTCATTAATTTCCACCTTTCACATTAGATAATTTTGATAGAATCAAAAAGACACAGATTCAGAATTGATTCTTGTAAGAGAGTCTCTGCTAGGGCTTGCTTAAACCCAGTGTTGCTCAAAGCTTTTCAGAAGGTCTCCTCTACTAACAAGAGGCATAGGAAAAAATTGCTAGTCTTGTGATGAGAAAAGAGATCTACACAAAAAAAAAAAGGGAAATTCAAAGTCAACTTATGAACTAGAAATGGGAGACAAGCAGAACGGCTCCCAAAGAGTCAACGATTACTGGAAACACAGGCTTCACATAGATTGCAATAAGATAAGATACTGAAAATTAAGTTGTATTTTGAGCATCTGCTAAAAAAAAAGCCCACTATTAAACAGCTTTTATAGCAGACTGGAATTATGTTACAATCTTGTTGAACATGAATACAGATTACGGATATACTTTATCTGAAGCTTTGAAGACAGCACTGCAAGAGATTTAGTTCAAAAAAATCACAGTTCCTGCCTTACAAATAGAGGACATTAGCCTGCATTGACTTTGATGAACAGGTTCATCAGCTAAGTCTGGGAACACTCAGATTAAAACTTCATTATTAAACATATGCTGAAAAAACATGAACCAGCTGCTTTTACCTTTCTGTAGGCAGAGATTTCATGTTGCTATAATCACTCAAATCGGTACATTCATGTACAACAGTTTACTTTGGATCCCTGACGTAATCAACCATTAGTTGAAATATTGTGTCCAGTACTGCAGCTGTATCCAGTATAAACAGCGTAATTCCTTTCCTCAATGAGACTGGTTACTCTCTTCAGTACTTTCAGGTCACAGAAGTCATGATTAAGCTTCACCCACCTGGAAAGGTTTTCACAGGGCTTTCAATTCTGAAAAATCCTGCTTCAAAAACCACTTTCTCTACTTCTGGTAGCTTCTCCTGATGTGTACAATCGGCGGCTCCGTCAGGCTTCATTTTATCCCTCATAGCTGCTTTTACAGCAGCAAGTCGGTTTCGGGCAGCAGTTCTTCCAGCTGCTCCCAGCTTTGGTTTACACACTCCATTTGGAACAGTCTTTTTCTGAAATTTTAAGTAAGTCTGGGTCACATCTGGAAGCTTCGGATAGAAGCAATTACACATGAACATCTATGTAGCTGCTGGCCACACATAGAGACAGCAACAGGCAACAGACATGCTGGAGAGAAGGTCTCCGTTCATCTCCAGAATCTCTTGGACCGCCATTTGGCTATCAAGGTTAGTTTGCGGTGACAATATTAAGGATTTTTCATATTGAGTCTGCAGTTCAGAAATCCTTCGTACAACTTTTTTCTAACAAATCCAGTTAACATTTTTGAAAGCGGTGGGATACAGGGACTCCTAGTGGCAGGGAGATAAGGTAACCGCAGGACAGATACCAGTCAGCCAGTGAAGTCTCTCCTGGCATTCGATTTTTCAAAGAAGTTTTGCATCTTGTACCATCTGCAGGGTTGTGACATTTACAGGCAGCTCGCTCAAACTACATTCCCTCCAGTTTCCTGTGCCTGGAGTTTCTTATCGACCTTGCATATCGTTTTTACGATTAGTCATGCAGTCTCAAGGAACTGGACAGAGTTTAGCCAATGCAAATATGACTTGATATTCAGTTATTAGAAGCAATTATATATTCCAAACCAAAGAGCAGATAAAGTAGCTTACATCAAAGCTTATTTTGCAATAAGCAATAACTTCAATAACTTATTTTTGATAGTGTCAGATCCGTTTTGTGCTTAGAAAACTCAGCTTTAATGCTACCCATGGTGCTGTCTTAAGGGGATACCATTATAATTTAGCAGTCACTGCTCAAAACTGGCGGTCACTGCCAAATTCCCATGTGGTTTCCTTTCCAGTTAAGTCAGTGCCAACACCAGTGGCCCAGATAAAGTGTTCTACATCTGAAGGGTAAATTTCTGTTCTAAATTTGACAGATTTGTCTTACTAGCAAAGAGTCCAATGACTCCAAAAGAGTAATTGTTAATTCTTAGTTCTAATCTTTCCAGCCAAAAGAGGCAACTAGCATTACAAACACCAACTAATACAAGTGCACTTGGGAGATGCAAGGGAGAAGGGTGCATCTCAAAAGGAATTTCACTGAATTTTTAAACATTAACACCTAAAGAAGCCAGATGAGTAGGGCTTTAGAAGGAACTTCCATTTAAGATGAGAATTCATTACTGCAATAGCAGCTTACCAGTTATTCTAGACAACTCAACACTGTTGCATCTTGATGCCTTAGGAGACATGCTTTAGGGGCTATTCATACCTTGACAGTTGCTTTGCTTGGGACATCAAATGGTTGCCACTCATTATCTTGAAGCTTCTTCAGATTATCAAATTTTTTATTCACATCTTTGATCTATTGGAAAGCCCAGAAAAGTCCAGGTTTAATTTTCCAGACTTATCAGATTCACAACAGAACAGTGTTTCATAAAATCAGATAACAAATTTAAGTGTAGTTATGCATTTAAGTACTTTTGCTTTAAATACGGAAGCAAATTAAGCCACCAACTGATACAAAAGTATTAAATGTTCTCATACAGTTGATGTGAAGGTTACACCAACCTACACAAGCTTCAGATTAGATGACAAGACTGGTCTCATCGCTGTAGTTTAAAGGTTAGTAGGGGAAGTACAGAACTGTTCGGTAAGATCTAACATCTAAAATGAAGGAGTTGGTTTACAACCTGTTCTGGTACTGAACTCAAGCACACCGTGACAATGGCTGCATTTAAGGAATGCAAAAGAACACATTGCATAATAGCCTTTATCCAAATGAGCACGAGTCTTTCATTACACAGGAAACACACTATGCAAGCTTGTTTGCTCCTTTAAACTGCTGGCCTAAACAGCTTCCTGATGCAATCTATGCTTCTTAGTGACAAACTAGCTCTGTGGCATCTCCTCCCTGACTGATACTCGATGCAACAGCCTTGTTCTCCTTAGGCTTTGTCATGAAGACACTTGCCTCATTCGCTAGTAAGGCCGTACAAGGCTTATTTATGTCCAGCAGATCAGTCACTGAAGTGGCAAGTCCTTTACATCCTCCCTGAAACTCAGAGGATACAAACAAAAAACAAATGCAAAAAGGGACAGAGTCAGCAATGCTGTTACTTCAAGTTTATCTAAAAGAAATGGTGGGGAAGCTCAGGAGAAACTTGAGCTGCTCCCAGATACATAGTAAGCATAGATAAACCCTGTTTTTCAAGTTACTGGTTCTAGCAAAGCTCCCTTCAAATCTCTCTGACGCAGCAGATCAAACTCTTACACTTTCTGGTGGGAATTCAAGACCTATGACTACGACCTTAACAATAAATCCATCTTTGCATTTAATTTACAAGTTCCTTTGTTGAATGCCGATTTACAAATACTGTTGAGAGCCCTTTGATAACTTAGAATATTATATTTCATTCTGAAACCAATGGAAGCATCAACAGAGAAAGAGAGATTAAGGTTTTCTACCACCTAAACTCACTCCTAAATAAGGTTATTGTAGTTTCTGCATTATTCTCATAGTGAAGCATGGAACCTCTATTTTTCAGGTGAGCTCCAGGAATTTTCCAAAAGCTCCCAGCTTTCCATCCAGGTAGATCTTGTGATTGTAAACTCACTCCAAATCAGAATAAGACTTGGCTACATGCCTCCATTCCAGAGAAAAGCAAGATACACAGGCCACAAGAAGACAACAGATGAACTGGTCCATGAATTCTAAATCATAGTATACCAACTGGTACTATTCACTATCAGAAATGTTAACAAGGACCTGAATTTTTTACATTAAAAAAAAAAATCACAATCTGATTATTCAAAAAACAAAGAAAAGTTTTAATTGTTCATAAATAACCCCATCAACTTTATCATAGTAGGTTAACATGCAAGTACATACCTGAAAATTAACCATATCCCAAAATCCTTCTAAGTCCGTACACGTTGTTTCTTTTTCACCTCGTTTAAATTCACAATTATCCACCAGTCCTTCAAATTGTTTAAACCTTTCTGCTATGAGCAGTCTTGTCTGACCAATTGTGGTGCGAATAAGATCTTTAGCTGATAGCAACAGGAAAACAATAAAGAAAGTACATCTTTGAATAATCCATCATTTCACAATTGATTTAAATAAGTATTTGAAGAGTCTGGAATCTGTTTATCATTTGACTATGTTCATCTGTTGCAGACCTGCGATACAATTCAGATAGAGCATACCTATCCATTGAACTGCTTTAAACTTGCCTCTTTCAAAAAAAAATGTTATTATCTCTAAGATAAGCTTTGATGAGCCATCTTCATTTTCCCAGATAAGGACATTTATTCTACATTAAAAATTAATTTTATTTTTAAAAAAATCGGCTTGACTAAAGCTCATACATTTAAATACACTTAAAACTGACAACAGAAAAACTATTTTGATACACACTTTGTTCATTTTAGTGTCAACCACTATCATATCAAGTACTACACAGAAGTTTTAGTATTAGGAGATCATAGAATGACAGAATGGTTTGGTTGAAAGGGACCTTAAAGACCATCCAGTTCCAACCCCCTGCCATGGGCAGGGACACCTTCCACCAGACCAGGTTGCCCCAAGCCCCATCCAACCTGGCCTTGAACACTCCCAGGGATGGGGCATCCACAGCTTCTCTGGGCAACCTGTGTCACTGCCTCACCACCCTCATGGTGAAGAAAAAGCATGAGATAAAGCATGCCTTCTTGTCCTGAGGCAGATACAACTCTAAACTTTATATAATAAAACTTCTACTACAGTGCTACTTTGCAAATACATTCAGACACACATACTTCCCTCTGTCCCCTTCAGTTACCGTAACGCCCCTTCTAATACCTGTTACAGTTTAGTCTTACCATCCTCTGGAATGTCCAGCTCAAATTTTCCATTCCACTGGAGGACCTGAGACATCAGCCTCTCTGTCTCAGACCGAACAATATTTCTAAAAATAAAGGGATAGTGAAAAAACAAGGTTTTGGAGAATTTTCTAACCGCTGTCACTACTTGTGACTGTCAGTGGTTACTATCCTTTTGCCTTCAGAGAAGCTACACTGTCTTGGAGCAGAAGCCATTACATTGTTTTAGTTTCCTGACTGGCTGAGACAATTTCTTTTCTACTGTTTTCAAGCTTTTGTTCCTTAGGACAGGGTGTTAGTGTCCAGAATTTTATATTCTTTACTTGCCCTAATAATGCAAAAGGGTGCGTGCCTACTCAGGTCACTGCTGGCAGACACCAACCACCATAAGCTAATCTTTACAAGAGGTCTCGTTACCTACGTGAAGGAGCTCAGAATGGACAACAGGGAAGTGAAACAAATGAACACAAACCTGAAATAGGGCACATCATGCTCTTGCTCTCTTATATCATCTGACTTTGTTTCAAGTGCTGTTGTATCTGTAAAGACAGTACTCGTTTCATTTGGTCTCTGAATGGAAGTCTTCTCATCTGACTCATGTGCTGAAAAATACGAAAGGCATTTGTTCAGAATGTGGTGAAAACTAAAAACATTAGAATGATAAATTAAATGTGAACTTCCTACCTTTTTCTCCTTTCAAACTTGTAGTGGTTTGCTCTTCTTGAATGCCTTTACCAGCAGGTGAAATTTGACTTTTTAAGCCAGGCTCTTGTGCCTTAGTTTCACTGGATTTTTCAATTATATTACTGGAAACAAACAAAAAATACATTTAGGGTTAAGACACATTGAGAAACTGACATCAAACATGGCCAAATACACAAAAATGCACAATTTAGAAGGCAATCCTACACACAACCCTAGAGAACTCAAGCAAATCCTATTAAAATGAATAAATCTGTGCAGAGAGATATATGGCACAGCCCCCGATATACAGAGCTGCTCTACTTCTAAAGCATACACAGAATTATGGATTATATCACTTTCTTTGCTGTTGTATTAAGTCCACATTTAAGCAGTGACAGCAACCATGATGATCAGGTATTTTGACATCACAAGAGTTTATTACACAGGGAATCTCTCTATAGAAAGATGACATTTTCTGTATCATCACAGAGGGGTTCACTTGCATTTTAGGCTATTAGAAGAAAGACTCTTACACTGGAGACTTTGAAAAATCCCAGAAGGCATCAAGTGTCAAAAATGCATTTGCCTTAGAAGGAGTCATGGGTGTAACTTTGTAGGTTGCTAATCCACTTAATGGCTGAAATACAAAGTTTTGAGGTGCAAAAGAGCGTGTTCTGGGTCTCCCTGGAGCAGAATTGTTTTTGTTTTCCGCTGAGGTTTGTTCCTGTTGAAGTTGTATTGACACTGAATTTTCAGAATCAGCTGCAGAACCTTTCATCGCTGGATCCAGCTGAGCATTTTTATCCACTTCGTGTTTAAAAGGAATTACCTATAACAGCACAAACAGACAAAGTGAACACTACATTATCAAATCAATGAGGTGTTTACTATAGGAACGGGCTGAATTATAATATGACTACCTGAAAGCCACCTGGAAGGGAACAGTTTCAAGGTTAGTCGCTTTCTACGATAGCATAGGTGTACAGAAGTCATGATTTACCAATAGGCCCAACACCTGCAAATAATTCTAGCAACAGGAGTAGCACTTCACTATGAGGAATGCAACAATCCACTGAAGGGGCTAAAGGAGGCGAACACCTCACCTACCAAAACAGTAATTAAAATTAGCAAACGCTTTCTCCCACTGCTAGAAAAAACCAAAATGCTTTAAGGTGATAAGCTCCTCAAGAGAAGAATTACTGGCTCCAAATCCAACTAGGCCTGTTGAATAATCACAGTTTATACACATACTCTAATCCAAGAAGTGAAGAACAAGCTAAAATAAGCTGATAGCTGAGGAATGCAGCCCAAGACAAGTGCAGTTAGGACCACAGAACGTCATTAAAAGAGGAGAAAAAGTTAGTAAGTTGAGTCCACATTCCTATGAGATGTGTGACCAGATAGTCATACAGAATGCATTTCTGAGATACCTATATTGAGATATTGTTAGCTCAAACCAGTCAAAAGAACCTAGATTGTTTTTCAAGAAAATATGCATCTTCAATCCACCGAAAGTCTTGTTATACTTTAGATACCCCTGCTTGGAATGTAAGCCTTGAATTCAACTTTTAACACACTTCTTGAAACGAGATGACTGAGCTTACAGCAAGAGTTTACCAACCGGCAGCACAAAGCATCTCCTGCCTGTGAAGAGGTACTTATCGAAGCGAAGATATAAGTGCCTCTTACCTCCTGCCAGTGTTTGTGCCTGATCGCAGCAGTTTCAAGGCAATACTAGAGCACAGCTGCAGTTATGGAAAGAGGAGTGGAGATGGAAGGCGCGAGGGAGACACGAGGCGAAAGGGAATAGCGGAGTGCAAAGCAGAAAAATCATGGATAGTTCTCATGCAGGACTGTCAGCGCATGAATGCACACATAAATTGTTTGGGAACTTGGGCTGGAGGACTACAATGAATTCACATACTGCTGTTTCTACGTAGATGCAGAAAACTTTTGTTATAGCAGTGACACTAAGAACTGCAATAACTGGTTTTAATTATGACAAATCCTGTCTACCTTGCAGAGAATAACATTTCCAGCTTTATATTCTGGTGATTCAAAACCTAAAAATGCACTTATTTCTTAGCTTCTGGAGTCTCATATCACCACCTGAGCAGGAAAAGGATCCATTCAGAGTATGTTTCAAAAAGGAATGAACTGCACAAAACTTACAAATGCTAGATAAAACCAGCAAAGCAGGTGGTTTGTTTTTTTTTTTTTACTAGTTAGAACATCAGACATGAAATATGTCATGTAAGAATTTCTTGTCTAATTTAAATCATTGTCTACATCTTGATTAATAATCAAGTCATCCATATTATCACTAAATTTCATCTTGATTTCTAAAATATGGCAACATAAATACATATAGCTTCTTCCCAAAATCTAGCTTATTAGTGAACTTCTTATTACTTCTGTGCTTGAACATAAGCATATTTGAGCTACAATTACACTGTTATTGGCTCTTAAATCAGTTTTACTGCTTTTCCATTTCAAATATTAAATGACCTACCTCCATGATGTCAGGCTTGACTGCTTTCTTCTGCTTTCCTACATTTGCTGTCTTTCTCTGTGACTGGTTACCTAGAATGAGAGAAACTCCCAAAGGTCAAAAAGGCTTCTGATTAAGATAATCTTTCACCAAAAGACTGCCATAAAAATCCAGTGTCTAAAGGTAGGGAGAGACCGTTTTGTTCCTCGAGTGGGAGGTGGCTAGAGGGCAGACATCACATTCAAAAGAAAACTTGGCCTAGGATTTAACAGCCTACTAAGAGATGTATCACCTAGAAAGGAAAACAGATTCATTAAGTCTTTAGATGTTGTCATATACTAAAAATGAAAGTCACCTTATTTCCTTAAAGGCTGAAGAGATACTGTCAAGCCAATTTGAGTTCAAATTTTAAATTTCTAGATGGCACAGGATTTCTGTTGGTGAACTGAAACCGATAGTATCAAAGCTGTGCTTTCAGCCTAGGGGTTAACTTCTGTCATATACAATACAAAGGACACGGCAAAACATTCTAGAGAATATCCTGAGAACAAGAATATATACTAAAAATTTCCCCTTCAGTAACCATCATGTTCCCCTATTCTAGTAAACACACAAACATGGACAGAGAGAAATTCCTGACCTGAAAAACATATGCTGTCTTCTCTTCTGGAGGTATCTGTTCCTGGTCACAGACTTAATAATCATATGTCCCTAAATAAGTGTTACACCAAACCGGCAAATCTTTACCAGTTCTGGGTTTGTTCTTTTAGTTTATAATTACCACATGGATATTGATGCTCCACATGGACAGATTTTAGGCAAAACTGTCCAATGTTGGTTTTAATATCTTGATTTAAACATTGCAATAGAGTTCCGGATGAGAGTCTAAGTGATACAGTATTCAGTCTTTTTCTCACATGACAATTTGGCATGATTTACATACAGTGTATCTATTCAAAGGAGATAGTTACACTGCAGAATGGAGTGTGCTAAGACAGTTCAGAACAAGTTGACATGTATCCCTACAGCAGAGTGCCTGAGAGATTAGCAAGATCCTAAAGACAGAGCTGTCTTAGTATATCATTTGACAATGAGTCTAACAGCAGCATATAAATGTACATATGTTGTTTCCAGTGCTCACTTATCCAGTACTAGATGGTATCTCTTTACAGCACACTATTCCAAATACTTGCAAACCAGGCTTGAGCTACGCAAGCAGGACTATTTACACCACCTCACTTACCAGTAGTAGCAGCAGTAGCTGTTGTTTTCAGCATCTGCCTAGCTGCAGAGGAGGCTGCTCTGGTGATTCTTACGTTTGAGGCTGTCTGGACTGCAGTCTGCAACACTGCAAGAAATATTCATTCCAGAGATTTCAAGCTTAATAAGGAGATGCACTCAATTAATGTAACTGAAAGTTTATGTTTTGTAGAAATCAGATAAGTGCACTAGCAATTATCAGTTCCATTCGCTTGCTAGAATCAAGTTTGTTTATTTTTTTTTTTGTCAGTTCAGTGCAAGCAGTGCTAAACAGGGACAGCACAGCTCAGCCTTGCCATCAAGTCAATGCTCTGAAGGATCTTAACTGAAGATGTTTTTGTTGTACAGTAGTACCTCCAGGACCATCAAGGTACCAGCATGCTAGATGCCATGTACAAAGCTTAAGGAACCCTTCTCAATGTTCCCCGCAATCAGAACCAACATCATCCCCATTTTACAGTTGAAGCTTCCTAGAGTAGTAACTTGCCATGGTTATTTGCACAGCTGGCACCTTAAGCAAACCATCTGTGTAACAAAGCGATGCTCTGGTCATTATATGAAAGTATTCTAAAGTCTGAATTTAATGTAATCTAACAAAGTATTCATAAGACAAATTGCTCCTGAAATATTTTATAAAATATGACAAGTTCATGCACTATTACCCATCTTAATCATTTTCATCTTTGTATTTTAGTACTGTTTCTAATATCCTTCAAAAATGACAGCATTCTCCTGCACAGAAAAATTTAACAGGAACTCTTTATTTCATAGCCTCCCTTTCTACATCTGCCTGAATTCCAGTAGCCCCACTTGGATATCGTTAATGTTATTTGTGTTTTTAATGACAAGCTGCAATTCGGTGAAAACTTGAATGACAAGTTGGGAAAAAAAATTACTAGATAAATAATTATAACACTTGATTTATCCAAGCATTCACTTCCTTAACATTTTTATACTAGTGTTTAAATACACATAATGCATATTCTTGATTTAGCACAAAAGGAATTATCAAGTCTAGTGGATGACAATTTTTAAAAAATTAAATGTTTTAATTGTTATATCAATCACTAATAATAGATCTTTTCAGTATTCATAGAAGGGACCTTATTTCCTTAAAGGCTGAAGAGATAGTGTCAAGCCAATTTGAGTTTAAAACTGAAACTCATTTAAATAAAGGTTTGCTGCTTGCTCATTTAATTAAATTAGTGATGCAAAAGTCATTTTACTCTGAATTACTGAATATCTTGCACTAACGTCAATATTGCACATGACTTAGTCTTATCTACTTGAGGCACGGACATCACTGTGCTATCAGGAAGAATTTCTAATCAAAGGTATTCTACTCCCTTAAAGGTGGCACGGGTTGATTTTTGTTGTTGTTTTCTTAAGAAATGTATGTAATTGTTACCTAGAAAGTGACAGATACAGAAGGGGCTGTTGTAAAATATGAACATCTAAGATTGTACTTGTCATTTATTGAAGAAGACAATCACACATTAGCTCAGTTGCACTAGTGTGTATCAGAAGTTTAGGCTCCTGTCTCCAACATTATATGCTAATGTGCTTTATCAGTTGGCTATCCTTTTCCAAACCTTTTTCAATGCCGAGTTACACAAGCAGTTTCATTTAGGGAGCACAGACAACAGTGTATCTGCTGTATAGACGGAAGAAAGACTTCACTGAAAATATTTACAGCTCATACAATCCGCTATTTTTCAGACTACCCACAACACCAAGGCAAATTCATATTTTACTTATGTCACCTATTCTTCATCTTTCCAGGTGAAGTCACTTGCTCTTCTGTAATAGCAGCAGCTACTACATGTGATATTCTTAGCGACAAACAGAAAGCTCTGCAAAGCTCCAGATGCCAAGGCAGCTAGCAATCACGCAATTCCGCCTACTGACCTTTCTCTTTTCCCTCTCCTAGGGTGAATAATCAGTAACCACTACAGCTAGCATCCTGCATTCCATTTCCCCCAGCCTAGAGAGGCAACAAGGACGTGCAATACCTCGAGTCACACGCTTGATAAACTGCCAGTTGCTGCCCTTGTCATAGTTGGTAGGAATGGCCACCGTAAAAACTCCTGGTTTTCTACACCCAAAACCGTACTGTGGTTCTCTCCCAAAGGTGTTCCTTGCCTCCCTCCCATAATGTCACAACTGCTGACTCAGGAAAAAAAACCAAAACCAACCCCATCAGCATCCTTCAGATTCAGATGTAGGGCTCATACTACTTTCCTACCTTTCTCTTTTTCAGCGGCTTTGTCTGTACTCATCTGTTTACGTCCTGCTTGGGTAGGGCGCACGTTATGCCCACTGGCACAGACCTACAAGAAAAGATCCATTTTTTGTGAAGTATCAGATTTCCAGAAATTAAGCAGCCTAATTTCTTTCCTCATTTTTCTATCCTAGACTCCAGTAAAACAAATGGCCAAATAATTTGGCACAAAGGGCTGTAAAAAGAGAAATTAAGAATAACTAAAATAGCTCATTTTAGACGTGTTAACATGCGTTATCCAACTAATTAAGAAATTGTCAGAAAAAAGAATGAGGAAAAGTATGTGAGAAACAGTTTCAGTTTACTGTGAAACTAGGTGCCAATTACTGCAGCATCTTAGTACATATTACGTGTTTTAAAAATCAGTTTTCAGGAAAAAAATTAACAATATTAACTCAGTTGTTCCTTTGTAAAGTTCTGACTGGAGATCCTTCAAATGCATTCAAGTTTTGCAAGGCAAGAGTGCTAGATCCAAAATATAGCTTCTTTTACAGATTACTGCTCGTGAAATTCCTCAACAAAACCTACTTTTTATACAACTGATAGCAGAAGGGACTGCCAAGATTCACAGTAAAAATATGCCAACATTTCAGTGATTTTTGAGTGAAGAATGAACTGACTATAATCTGCATTCATGACAGACCTTCTGTATTCAAGGGAGATGCACTGGTGTAACGAAAACGTAATGTCTCAAAATACACTACTGCCTCTACACATATCTGCAGTCCCTGCCGACTATAATATTTTGTATTGAAAAACTGATCCAGGTCTGTGCACTTCTCTCTGTACTGACCTAATCAAACTCTCTGTAGCTCAGTTCAGCACAAGGTGGTCTATCAGCTTGCTGAAAGCTTTTCTGATCTAATTTGTCTTTCTCACCAGGAAAAACTCCTTAGAGACAGCACTCAACTTCTAGGTGTACAACCCTGAGTTATGATCTGAAGGATAATTACATCCTTTCCTTTAAATTTATTTGCTGAAGTTTATATAAAAAACAAACCATAGAGTGCTTAGATGCAGTTGGTATCACAGTTTTTTCTTCTTGGTTCTTGGCCTTTGATCGAGTAATCCTCCCGGAGAAAGCAGGAGCTGCCTGGAAACATCCCCAAGGAAACAAGAGTTAACACACTCTTTTTTCTCCCCCATCACTGTCAGAGTGGGCAAAAAGCCTAAGTGTGAAAGTAACATGCCCGTGCAAAATGGGTCAAGTGCTTAATTTGAAAAACTTTCCAAGTCAAGTGGACTAAACAGGAACGAGTTACTAGTTCTAAAATAACTTGGCTGTTTCATTTGTGGATGAATCAGTCCAGTTTTTGAACTGAGAACATCATCATAAATACAAAAATCAACATATCACTAGTACTATTTCCAGCTTTGTTTTAAAAAAAAGAGCCAAATTACTCCCTTATTGTTCCTTATTCTAAAATAAATATTTACAAAGTATTTACAAAACAAACTGTTTATTTGGCATAACATACACATAATTTCAGATATAAATAGAAATCTAATATAATATACAACATATAATTCATTTAGGTATTTAATATTACTCTTATTACCTTCTCTCTTGGCTTTACTATCACTGGATCTTCAGGTACAAGTGAAAGAAATCCAGGCGCAGTTGGTCTATACAACCCAACTTTAAACACACCCTTTTTTGCTTTCTCTCTCTGCTCCCTCAGTTTTCGAAGTTCCTTTTCTTCTTTATAGCGCTGGAGCATTTCCTTGCGTTCATTAATCTTCTTGGTGGCTGCATCTGTAAATTGTTCTGAAGCAAAGATGGAAGACACACATTATAAAAGCTTGGAAGATATTTTTTGAGCCAACAATAAGCAAGTCAGAAAATTTAAAAAAACTTTTCCAGACTAGAAGAGGAACATACTAAGTCAAAGAGCAGAAGACCATCTGGAATCTGTGCCTGCAAGTTTCAATTAAAGTCTTAAAATGCAAATACTTGTGATCTATTAGCTTGCCAAAAAGCTTAAATTGTCTTAATTGTTTTAACCCTTCCCACTAAAAGAGTATTGAATGGTAACTTTCAAATACACCTCCCCACATTCGCACCTGAGAGATACTGTAACTTCATATCCATTTTACAGCGTTCAGGCTGTTCCTGCAAGGTTACTAGTATTAAAGTTAACACTTTAACTACTTATTTAGTTTATATGTACCAGTTTCTCTATTCAAACACTGGCAATGTCACTGAAAGCTGAAGTTTAGGTCAACTTTAGATACCAAAGTCTGCCTCAGGTTGAGAATGAATGAGGCAGAAATTACATGAAGGAATAAAACCTTAAGATGATGCCAAACTTGAATTACACATCTATCTGAAAAATTAGTATCTCCTTAAAGTTAAAATTTATTGAAGATAATCAAGATACAAGTTTCTTAAATTTCATATTTGACATGATTACATAGGGGTTGCACTCCTTCCTCCAATATCTTCTGCTATCAAAATACTGAAGGTGAAAATATTTCTGAAGAAATCTGTTAACATTTTTAAAGATTAACTGAATTCCTTAGACCGTAAGCATCCAGGAGAGCCAGGGAGGCAGAATTCAGTATATATCCAGGCCCTATTTTCTGGCAGGAAAGATAAGACATCAAAAACTAGCAATTTTTAAAATACAACTATACTATGCATTCACCTATTTATAATTATATATGACTAATTATAATATACAATTACCCATTTCTAAGCATACTTTAAGTACACGACAGACATCAGTTCTATGTTAGACGAGATTTTAGATCAGGGTTTTTCACTTCTTGAATGACAAAGCAATCATTAAGAGACTTCCCATTGAATATTAATAGCAAACCGCATTCTTCCTTTGGCTGCTGCAGACAAATCAGAGCAAAGCCTCACCGGAGCAGCAGGCAGGATAAAGCTGTATTCAGACTTTATTTTTTTTTATTTTCTTAAGAGTTAGAAGAACTGGTAGTCATTGGTTTTTAAATCTTAACCCTTTTCTTCAAATTAAAATGTCGACGACAATTAGGTTCCTGTGACAATGTTACTAAATCTACTTAAAGACATTTTTAACAAGTTAAAAAAAAGCTTTTAACAAGTCTTTACTTACTCTGTTTTACACTGCTGTTCTCTTGAGAGCACATTTCACTTGTCTCATTTAGTTGAGAAATTCCCCTCTGTTTTGAGAGCTGAACATTGACATCTGCCAATCCAAACTGTCTGCCTTTTTCAAACAACTTGTGCCTGTTCTCCTTTTGAAGCATTGATTTTCTGCGTGCAACTTTTGCTCTCAGGGTTTCTGTACTCAGATCCTTTTTGTATCGACTGGCAAACTGGGAGGTAGCAGCCATCTTGATGACCCTAGACAAAAGTCATAAACGATTAGGAAAAAAGCTGTCATGTTTTGTTTTGCCCTTTTCATTACAGTTTGCATGTTACGAACAAAGCCCTAGGTTCTTTGTTTCTGTATGTGTACCAGAGAAAATGCAAATGACAATTTCAATAGTGATTCATCATTATTTCTCTTTATTTTATGCATTCAAGGGGCTAGTTTGTTTGCTAAGTGGTCAACAAGTCCGACACAGAATTAGTAGGGGACAAGGCATCACTGCCAGGGATTGGCCTGCCGGCCTGTTTTCAACACAGATGTTTTTCACGTTAAGGAGACAAGCAAGTAAACAACAACGCTGTAGGACAATACTTGGAAGCAACGTTGCTACTGAGCATTTAGATTATACCCTATCTGATGGCAAGGCATTTTTGTCATGCATCAGAGTACCTGGCACCGTTTCCCAACCCAGTCTCCAGGATGCAACTACAGTACAACAGCATTTATTTTGAGCAGGATTTCTCCCTACTTTTTTAACCTGAGGATGACTTAATGCAAACATCAGTTGGTCTGTACAGGCTGTGCTAACAGGAATGTAAAAAGCTTCAACCCTGCATTTGCTGAAACCTGTCCTGTTGAGGGTTTTCACGCTTTCTTCCTGGGGAAAGGTCAGGACCAGTTCTTGCAACTGGCCTTACTCTGCCACCTGAACCGGGGTCTTTTAGAAATCTCATCTCCCGTTACTTACAGAAAACAGCTTTACAGTAAGGAGTGTGATACAGCTAAACTAAATAGCTGACAGTTATTCATTTACTAGTAAATTGGTCATTTACTGAGGCTTTTAATTTCAAGACAGCAAGCTTTGATCAAGCTAAAGGAATCATCAGTGAAATGGACTGAAAAGATCAGCCTTGACTATGGGTGTAACGGATTTCTTAAAATCAATTCCCTCCCCCTCCATTTGCTACCAAAAGCCAAAAACACCACCAGCAGCCTAACTGAAAAACCCAAATGTCAGAAGAAAAAGAGTACCAAAATAGACAGAAAGAGTACAGAAATAAACTGTATATACTTATGCAGAAAGCAAGCGAGGAGAGAATCTGAGCTGTTGTAAGAAGGAACAAAGTCTGTTCAGATATGGTCACTGCTGGCAGTGGCAGCTCCTTGTTCCCCACTTCATGGCAGTATTCACGTAGTGGGTAACTTGCACAGCACCAACAGTACCTGCACAACCATCTGGAAGTGCTTGGAATAGATACAGGAGATAACATATGAGTCAGAAATCCGAATGGGTATATTTTGCTTCTTTTTTCCAATATGTTCAGTGCTGCAGGAGAGCAAAGTGGTCAACGGAAGTCAAATGAGCAAAAGGGAATAAAAATCAAAACTCAGCTTAAAGCACCCAAATCAGAGACTGGATCTCTTCCACATAATCATGGAAGAGCTGGTGCGCGTCAGTGCCTCCTGATTCGTGACTACCTTGCGTTTCATCCTGCCTCTTACAATCAACTTTCAGAAATGGATTAAAGATGCCAGGTAATTAATAATGATTGCAAATGATCAGACTAAATCTACTGTAGTTCACAGGTCATATTTGCCTCGCTTAACATTTAAGTGATTAGGAAAGGTTAATTTATGAGCATCTCCAATAATCATCTTTGATCTGATCTTGTTAGTAATTCCCATGGTATTACAGAAAGCCATGAAGAAAACAGTTACTGGGAATGTATCTTCACTATCTACCTCAGAGAAGAAGCAGGCTTTTTGAGCCCAGCAGATGAAAATCATTCCTAAAAGCAGCAGCTAGCATCAAGTCCCTACACCCATCCTTCGTGGACTTTCAGGACAAATTCCCTAAATTTACCTTAAACGTGTCCTTTAAGTACAACAACAGTTCTTTCAAAGTGCATGCACAATTTTTAATTCAGTGCCTCGATGGAAGGTAACATAACCCATATCCACAGAATGTACATTGCTATCTATCAGGCAAGCTTACAGAAAGCTGCATTTGCATTAAACGCTGATAAACATTTAACACATTTACAGGATTTTTATGCTCTACCTTCTACTTTGAACAGTATTTTCCTAGTTATTGTAGTATAAATCCACTTAAGGCCTTCTCCCATGAATAAGCCTCAAGAGCAAGTGATCTGCATTTCAGTACATAATCCTGCAGAAGAATTCATCTGAAACTTGAAGGCAGCAAATATAATATAAGCAGAGATACAGAGAGAGCTTCCCACAAAGGTATTATCAACTCACATCCCAGGTCAGCAAAAGCAATACAGGAGATTACCCGTGATCTCTTTGGGTTCATTTAAAATGTATGGCGTGCTCAATGTCCTAAACATCTCTCTAGGACAAAAACACCTGTTTCCTTTTCTTTCCAGGTTACGGTTTCTGAGTAGTACCTTGCCCACACAGGAGTCTAGAAGATTAACTGGAATTTAAACTGGCATAAATTCAAGAGTAGCAGCAGGATAGGGACAAAGGGCTTATACAAAATAAAAGATTTGTGACTCGCTAGCACGTACTATCAAAATTAAAGCTGAAAATTTATAGGATTGATTTTTATTTAAGAAAACAGTGAGGGAAGAGAGCCACTTTTGACCAGCAACACCACAAGAACCAAAGGAGTAACACGGATCTGAAACACATTTAGGTGGACGGTTAGCATTTTTAGCCTGAATAGTGACAAAGTAGAGCAGGAAGAGCAGACATGGCTCTGTTTAAAGCAGGAACCTGGCAAGTTTAGGGACTGAGTAAGGTCTAGACTCAATGGTTTTGAGACGGGGGCCGGGGGCTCACGACGAACGGAACACCATCTTCCCACCGCGGGTCTGAAGGGTCGCCACAGGTTTTTGCCCCTCAGCCCCTTCTCCACCACAGCCTCGCCGTGCTTTGAGGCCAGCTCAGAGATGAGGC